ACTCTCCGCCGATGAGAAGCGGGAGCTGTATGAAGAACTTACGATGGAGGATTTTTGAAGGGGCAGGGTGAGCTGACGCAACCACTGCCCGTATCCGTTTCACTGTCCCGTGTAATTCTAGTAGTCCAAAATGAACGCGCTCTGCACATTCCGATTACTGTGGGACGAAAAGACGTCGAGGCACGCGCTTTCATCGATAGCGGCGCAACAGGAATCTTCATCAGCCCGAGATTCGTCCGAGAGCATCGACTTCGGACAGAACCTCTCCCCCCGACCCATCCCCGTCTTCAACGTGGATGGAACTCCAAATAAAGAAGCACTTATTATGCGAAGAGCTCTCTTATCTTACAAGATAAGCAGAGAACCCCAATTTGTCAAAGCCTACGTCGCCAGCATCGGCAAGGAAGACATCATCTTCGGCCATACCTGGCTCAAGCTCGAGAACCCCAAGATAGACTGGAAAACCGGACAAGTTGAGCTAAACCACCAATGGACGAAAGACGAGACCAGGGCCTGGAAGATGGACCTGTACCAAAGGCGAGTGGCTCGGCTAGAACTGAAGAAGGCCGTAACTACCCCACTCCCAGAACCAACGGAGGACGAATTTGTCGTCATCTCCACCTCGGAGCACGCAACCCTTCCCGAACGAAAGACTAGCCACGCAGCAGGATATGACATCTCTGCTGCGCATCAACTTATCATCCCTGCCTGACGACGAGGCCTGGTCGGCACCGATCTTATCATGGCTATCCCTGAAGGACACTATGGAAGAATCGCACCTCGGTCCGGCCTAGCACTAAAGGAAATCGATGTCGCTGCAGGAGTAATCGACTCCGATTACCGAGGCAAGATCTCAGTCCTGCTGGTCAACAACTCTGACCTCCCATTCACCGTCAAAGCCGGCGACCAAGTTGCTCAGCTCATCCTTGAAAGGATAAGCACTCCACCAGTAACACTAACCAACCGCATTGACAAAACGGAACACGGGGAGGATGGGTTTGGATCAACAGGTATTGCGTCCATCGAAGAACAAGCGGAGGACATCGACGACGATGAGTTCATCATTTCCTACTTATCAGGAACACCGATGATCACCAAGTACGAGAAACAGGAATCCCTAGCAGTAAGGGACGTTCCGCTCAGGGAACAACTCCCTGAACTTTCATCCGGCTACAAACGACTCCACAACGGCATGATCTGGAAAACCCACCACGACATTAGGCGAGTCACAACATCCACTGAACTTGCGGCCTTGAACGCCCAAGGCAAGACAGAAAAAACGCTACCACAGATGATACCGTCCTACCTGCATGATCTCCTCCCCGTCTTCGACAAAGGCACCGCTGCGTGACTTCCAGACCACACCGAATATGACCACGAAATCAACCTCAAGGAGGGCTTCACGGACATGAAGCAACAGGTTTACCCGCTCAACCCACAACAGCGAAAGGAACTCGACAAGTTTCTTGAAGAGAACCTGAGTAAAGGGTACATTCGCCCTTCAAAATCCCCGTTGGCGAGTCCATTCTTCTTTGTTGGTAAAAAGGACGGTTCACTATGCCCCTGTCAAAACTACCAGCTGCTCAACGAGAACATGGTCAAGGATCAATACCCGCTCCCGCTTATATTGGACCTCCTCGACAAGTTGAAGCACGCCAAGGTGTTCACGAAGATGGACCTTTGTGCCGGATACAACAACGTCCGAATCAAGAAAGGGGACGAATGGAAGGCAGCATTCATCGTACCCGGAACTGATGGCAAACCGCCGCAGCTGTACGAACCAACGGTGTCACGAGTTGACACGGCGTCTAGCCGTTATTTAATTTTTTCCTTTTCGCGGGCTCGAACCCGCGACCTCTGTACTATACGCTCGAACGGACAAGTCCTTATCTACTGTACGATTAGATTAGATGGAGCGGCAGTGCACGGCACAGCTCGGGCTCCGCTGACACAGCCGCTCTGACTCACCGGCCCCCGGGGCCGCGTCAGCATGCTGTGCACGGACCAGCTGCGCACGGACCAGTGTGCACAGCCTGCCCTCATCTTCCCCTGTATATAAGCCGGCCTCTGCTGCCCTAGGGACCTCAGTTTCGACCTCTTGTCCCTAGGTCAGTAAGCATCCTTTGTATTCCTTTTCTTACCTCACTAATATATTATCTTGTCCCTAGCCTTAGGTTTGAGCTCTGCTCACCATCGCTTCAGTAAGACCCAATCGAACACCCCCAGCATCCTTGGTTTGTGTTTCCCCTGTCGCTCGACCCTAAGTCGCGACAAACAGTGATGTTCTTTGGGCTGTGTAATTCCCCCGCTACGTTCCAGTGGATGATGAACACAATATTCGCAGACATGCTTCAAGAAGGCTGGCTCTGCATCTACATGGACGACATCCTGATCTTTTCCCAGGACAAGGCAGAACACGAGGAATGAACATGATGTGTTATCGAACGACTTCGACAACACGATCTCTACCTCAGACCGGAGAAATGTGCCTTTGACGTCACCGAAGTCGAATTCCTCAGCATGATCATCCGCCCCGGAGAAATTGCAATGGACCTTGTCAAACTAGCTGGCATTGCAGATTGGCCGGTGCCGTCCAACCTCAGGCAAGTACGCGCCTTCATTGGATTTGGAAACTTTTACTGCCGGTTTATCAAAGGCTTCTCAGACAAAGCGCAACCGCTGGTTGCTCTCACCCGGAAGGACATCACCTGGACCTGGGGATCTGACCAACAGAAAGCCTTCGAGACCCTCAAGAAGGCATTCCTAGAAGAACCGGTACTACGCATGCCGGATCCCGATCGACCCTTCGCTATCGAAACTGACGCCTCCAAGTTTGCAACCGGAGCAGTACTATGCCAGCGCAATGACAACGGCGACTGGCATCCTTGCGGATACCTCTCTCAAAGCTTCAATTCAGCAGAGAGAAACTACGACATCTACGACAGAGAGTTATATGCGGTCATCCGCACACTAGATGAGTGGAGGCACTACCTCATTAGCAGCCCATACCTAGTGACGATTCTCAGCGACCACAAGAACCTCACATATTGGAAACAAGCCAAAGACATGAACCGACGACAAGCACGCTGGGCGAGTAAACTGACCGAGTTTGACTTCCGCCTGGTACACGTTCCTGGTACCCAAATGGTGCAGAGCGACGCTCTCTCCCGCCGACCCGACCATGACGACGGCTCTAATGACAACACCGACGTCGTTATGCTCCCACCGGAAGTATGGGTCGCTGCCATCGACATCAACACCCGCAACACCATCCTTTCCTTTAAGGACGACCCAATAATGAAGGAAGGCCTCACTGCGGCACGCACTGGAGGAACACCACGCACTGGAACAGACTGGTCCATCGATGATGACCTCCTCCTATACCAGGATCGGGTCTATGTACCCCCAGATGAGTCTCTTCGCAAATGTCTTGTCTCCCACTATCACGACCTCCCCTCCGCAGG